GGAAACTAGCTGGTCGAATGATTCTACTTCTAGGTCTTGTGTTAGTTCTAGTGATAGTGCTAATGTAAAACTAGAACTAACACTAAATCTAGAACGATAAAAATTTTCTAGTTCTAGATCTAGTGTTAGTTCTACAGTAACACTATCACTAGAACTAACACAAGACCTAGAATTAGAATCATTCGGGTTTAGCCGTCTTGAGGATAATGTTATAAGCCACTGCATTAGATAGTTGTCTCAGCTCTCCAGGTTATGTGTTGTTATCTTCTCAAGTATCATGGCAGAACTTGAAGCGCCCTTCACACGATCAATTTATATTGTCAATAAAATATTGTCAATATGACCAATAAATATTGACAAACTGTAATTGCCTCAGACTATCAATATTTATTGACAATCTACTTAGTTTTGCGTTAGCAGTCAAAGATGTCATGTCATGTTTACATGTGTTAAGGAACCATCCGGGGAGTTAATAACACTTTCGTCCATTAAAGTATATCTGTCTGAATTTTGAAATATTTTCGTTTTCGTCAAACCATCCCAACAATATTTTTAATATTGACAATATGTCAATCTTTCTACTCATACGTTCAATAATATTGTCAATACTTAGATATTGACAATATACAGTGTGTCCCTGGATAGGTGAAACGACTCTTATAAAACGTAAATTTTTTTTTCGATATTAATTGTCATTTTTTGGGGTTTGGCCCTTCTTGATTAAAGACTAATTTTGAACGGATTGTCAAGTTTTAAAAAACAAGTGAGCCTGGACGGTGAAAGAAAAACTCTTTTTGTGGCAGGTAAAGTACCTTTTCTGTTTACAGTACGTGAAAGTGTTACTAAGAAGTTTTGTTCAGAATGAAAAACTATGGCCATATGCAAATTTTTGGAATGATCGGCCTACTTTGGTAAAAATCTTTTTACCTGACACACAAGGAGTTTCGCTTCAGTGTCAACACTCACTTGCTTTTGAAACTTGAAAATATGTTCAAAATTAGTCTTTCACCAAGCAGGGCTAAACCCCAAAAAATGACAATTAATATCGAAAAAATTTTACATTTTATAAGAGTCGTTTCACCTATCCGGGGACACACTGTATATTGATTGTGTGAAAGGCGCTTAAAAGAATAGGTTTTCTCAATTGACACAATGTGAAGGTAAATTCAATTAAATCCTCGATGCTAATTATAGTAATGTTTCTAGTTCTAGGTCTAGTGCTAGTTCTAGTTTTACACTAGTACTATCAATAGAACTAACACAAGACCTAGAACTAGAATCATTCGGGTTTAGCCGTCTTGAGAGACGTGTGGCTAAATCCGAATGTTTCTAGTTCTAAGTCTAGTGTTAGTTCTAGTTTTACAATAGTATTATCATTAGAACTAACACAACAGCTAGAACTAGAATCATTTGGATTTAGCCGTCTTGAGAGACGTGCGGCTAAATCCGAATGCTTCTACTTGTAGGTCTAGTGTTAGTTCTAGTTTTACAATAGCATTGTCATTAGAACAATACCTAGAACTAGAATCATTTGGATTTAGCCGTCTTGAAAGACGTGCGGCTAAACCCGAATGTTTCTAGGTCTAATGTTAGTTCTAGTAACAATGGTAGGCAGCGCTAGTTAGCATAAGAAATCACTATGTTGCATATTTTTATTGAACTAAAACTAGAACTAACACTAGAGCTAGCACTACCAAGAAACATTCGGGTTGGGTTAGGTATTTTGCCCGATATTTTCTAGTTCTAGATCTAGTGTTAGTTCTACAGTAACACTATCACTAGAACTAACACAAGACCTAGAATTAGAATCATTCGGGTTTAGCCGTCTTGAGGATAATGTTATAAGCCACTGCATTAGATAGTTGTCTCAGCTCTCCAGGTTATGTGTTGTTATCTTCTCAAGTATCATGGNTGAAAACACGGAATTTTTTGTAGTAGAGATACCTAATGAATTTATTTTGAATAGTTTCTATTAAATTAGAATAAAGAATTGACCCGGGATCCCATACTATAGTAGACGCTACCGCATATTCCAGCTTAGATCGCACTAAAGAATTGAACAGTAATTGCAGTGTCTGTAAATTTGAGAAACTGTACCCATTTCTAATGACAAATCAAATGTTAGTTCTAGTAACAATGATAGGTAGCGCTAGTTAGCATAAGAAATCACTATGTTGCATATTTTTATTGAACTAAAACTAGAGCTAACACTGGCTAACTAACACTACCAAGAAACATTCGGGTTGGGTTGGGTATTTTACCCGATATTTTCTAGTTCTAGATCTAGTGTTAGTTCTAGTTTTACAGTAACACTATTACTAGACCTATCACAAGATCTAGAACTAGAATTATTCGGGTTTAGCCGTCTTGAGGATAATGTTATAAGCCACTGCATTAGATAGTTGTCTCAGCTCTCCAGGTTATGTGTTGTTATCTTCTCAAGTATCATGGTACAACTTAAAAGATTCGGTTTTCTCAATTGAAACAATATGAAGGTAAATTCATTTAAATCCCTGATGCTAATTATACTACATATCAAAAAGTTTAAATATAATCTAGATAAGATCTTGTGTATGTTAATGTATTACTGGTCTCAGGATTTTTCATGCATTTCTAGAATAACCTTTTGGTCTTAAAGTACTTGTTTCTCTTAAAAGTCTTTCAATATCTTAGTATATAAACTTTCTATCTGCTGCAATTAAATTTGTTAATAAAACTTCGAAATTTCAAAAATTTGAATTAAATTTTAATCTGTTTTAATACCCAACCCATTATTTATTATTACACTTTCTCAAACATAGACCATATGCGTTAATGCACCACATTACTTTTACCACGTTATTTGTAACATGTTTATTTTTGTTTTACGTCGAAGGTTAATAACTGACTCATAGTCTAAACGGTCCGCAATTGGATTTTATAATTATTGGGGATTACGACGTTGTTATCTCTCATATATAATAAACGTCAGAGTTTTCTATTTTTAGCAAAACAATTCTTATTCAAACCACGAGTTTTAGAGATATTTTAATAATGCACTACGCATTCCATCCCGACGTTAAATATTATCTCGAATTAGTCGCTAAGCTATTATTAAGATTAGGCTCGATCAAAAGAGACGAAAATAGAATTGTTTTGATCGCCTTGTACCGCCAATCAAATTTATTGGTGAGCTGATTGTGTTTTTAGCATGATAAATTAAAGAGGACGAGGTCGATAAAAATAAATAAATTTTAATAATTGGGTATCTTACCAAGTATTAATAATTTGTTTTATTTTAAAGGTTCTTGCGGAAAGGTTACAAGAAATCGAAAATGCACCCGAATTATCAATTTTACCAATATATTCGCAATTACCATCAGATTTACAAGCGAAAATTTTCCAAAGATCTCCCGAAGGAATCAGAAAATGCGTTGTTGCCACAAATATCGCTGAAACTTCGCTTACTGTGGATGGAATTATTTTTGTTATTGATTCGGGTTATTGTAAATTAAAAGTTTATAATCCAAGAATTGGTATGGATGCGTTACAGGTTATTTTAATTAATTAATTTGTTTTAATTATTTTAATTATTATTCTTTATTAGATTTATCCGATAAGTCAAGCTAATGCGAATCAAAGATCTGGTCGAGCTGGTCGTACAGGTCCAGGGCAAGCATTTCGATTATACACCGAACGCCAATACAAAGACGAATTATTAATAACAACCGTTCCGGAGATTCAAAGAACTAATTTAGCAAACACCGTTTTATTATTAAAATCGTTGGGAGTTCAAGATTTACTTCAATTTCATTTTATGGACCCACCCCCACAAGATAACATTTTAAACTCGTTGTATCAACTATGGATATTAGGGGCTTTGGACCACACCGGAGTTTTGACTAAATTGGGCAGACAAATGGCTGAGTTTCCTTTGGATCCTCCTCAATGCCAAATGCTTATTGTTTCGAGCCAAATGGGATGTACTGCAGAAATTTTAATTATTGTTTCGATGTTATCTGTTCCATCGATTTTTTATAGACCTAAAGGGCGAGAGGAAGAAGCTGATGGAGTTAGGGAAAAATTTCAAGTGCCTGAAAGTGATCATTTGACATATTTGAACGTTTATAATCAATGGAAACAAAATAAGTAAGTATTATTAAGTAGTTTCTGAGATGAATTTAGTTGGTTAACCTTCGAGCGGGCGCGCTCTCTTAAAATTTATGACACTTTTCGTTTTTATAATATATCTCCTTATATTATGCATTTGAAAGTATTTAACGCCAAAGTATTCATGTAACTATGTATTTAGAACATGATGAAAAAGAAAATGTAAAAAAAATATGTTGACATTGTCTTTTTGGCAAAAAAAGTTATAAAAGACAAAAAATTTACACATTAATTGCTGATTTATAAGGTCGTATTTATACTGGTGTTTTTTAAGCCCGATAGAACTTTAAATTGAAAAAATAACACAAAAAATTAAATTTTAATCCAAAAAATGTTTTTGTTCAAAAGATCAATACATGGCATTAACGGGCATAATGGATTTCGGGCATAGGGGCACCGCGGCTGTTCTTGACGCAGCGCATTCTGGACGTTCAATTTTGGGTACAATGATGCCACCAGCGTGCAAACCACACCAAACTGTGCATTTTTCTGCATGTAATGGAGTCTGTAGGGTCTGTTGTGGATTGGTTTCACTCCATATGCGGCAATTTTGTTTATTAACAAACCCATTAAGCCAAAAATGAACATAAGATCAGTTTCCAACTGCTCTAGAACCCAATCGGCGAAAGAACCACTCATATGATGGTCTCGTGGCTTTAATTCCTGCAGCAGCTGGATCTTAAACGAGTGTAGTCCAAGATCTTTGCACAAAATTTTCCACGTAGTGGACGGACAGAGCCCCAATTCCTGCGACTGACGATGAATCGATAAACTTGGATCTTCTTGCACATTTTCGTTTACAACGGCGAGATTATTTTCAGTACGCACATTCCTTCGACGTGTTGGTGTTATTGCATCATTTAGAGAGTATGTGGTATAATATGAAATCTACCCACAGTTCGACGGATGGCTTGCTCAGATGGACGCCATACAAATTACGAAGTCGTCTATAAATTGTGCGAATTGATTACTGATTTTCAAAGTAAATCTGGTTTATTTGGTAGCGTTGTTCAAGCGTCAATCTATTTATGATGATTTGCCAGAATATACTGGTCATAAATATCAAAAAGTGAGCGCAGTATGACAGTTCGTTTAACAGTTAACCCTTTCGTAAGTTCTATCTGGCTTAAAAAAACACCCTCTATTATCAAATGTATTAAGAGATATAAATTTATTATAAACAGGTTATGAGCCATACATGAAGATTTTAGATCGTTTACATATTTTTGAAAAATACAAGTCCGTAATGACAATTTTGTCGGAATCGAAATTTTTTTCGTCGTTTCAATATTTCAATCTTTACGGTTTTTCGTAAGTTTATGGAAATATTCAATATATTTAAAGGCTTGAGATGGCTAAACTTGAATGTTTCTAGTTCTAGGTGTAATGTTACGGTACGTTCACACACATACTGTTTACAGGATAAATAAAAAATACTGATCTGTTAAAATGTGTCGTTCCGTTTTGCCAACAAAAATTGGACGTCGAAACAGTAAAAATACGAATCGGCGCCCGATATATTAGCGCCTTCACGCATTTTCTCATTTTCATTGCTTTTTCGTTTCACGATTGAGGTTGGACTGGCGCGTAGTTGTAGTATATGCGTTTAATTTATTGAAAGAAGACGTTGTATTTGCTACGAACCATGGCTACTAAAGATTATGAAAAATATATAGATAAAGAAATATTAATACATACTGTAGAACAGTGTTTTTCAACCTGTGGGTCGCGAGAATTCACGATCAGTAAAAAAATCAATAAATTTCAAGGAGGTAGATTAAAAAAAGTTAACAAAATGATACTTGTTATGTTGTTTATACAAACACATTAACAAAAAATAAAATCTTCGAGTACTCGTTCATTTTAATGTGAAGGTTGCGCTTGAGTTTGTTCAATCAATTTTTCCCATTGTGAATCCGTTTTTGCAACTTTAAGTATTAAATCGTTTTCCAAATTTAAGCGATTTCTTAGTTTATTTTTTATTTGGGCTATTGATGAAAATGCCAACTCGCACAAGTACGAGGTAGAAAATGGAATCAAACACTTCAAAGCCTCGGTTGTTAATTCCGGGTATTCTGTTTTTCTTTTTAACCAAAAGGTATCCAAATTTTCAGACTTGAATTTCAAGTGTAACATACCATCGGCAGATAATTCCAGCAGATTCTCTTTAAGGTTAGTTGCTAAATTTGCCTCATTTATAGCTGCATTTAAAAACGGATTTAAGATCCATCTTTGCCCAGTGTTAATCGATATCTCTTGCACTGAGAAGTAATGACACAACTCTTTCTTCAAATTATCTAACACCATTTTCATACCAGATATATATGAGTTAATGTTTATCTCGCTTCCGACTTCTTCAATGAAAGACTGTGTCGACGAAAATGAATCAAAGTTGTTTTGATTTATAGATGATGACCACAATTCAATTTTTTTTATAAAGCCATGGAGTTTGTCTTTTGCTGTAATGACATTTTCATCCCGCCCTTGAAGACTTTTATTCAAGTTGTTTAAATGCTCAAATAAGTCGGAAAGAAAAGCCAATTTCAAAAGGAATTCCGGGTCAGAAATGAATTCAGAGTAATGTGACTTGGCTTGTTGTAAATATACTAATAGTTCAGCGCGAAGTTCCATAACTCTGGTCAGTACTTTGCCTTTTGATAACCACCTAACCTCTGTGTGGTAAAGCAAATTGCGGTGTAGTGCCCCCATATCTTCACAAATGATTCGAAACAATCGAGTCTGCAACGCTTTTCCTTTGATAGAATTTACAATGTTAATAATAATATTTAGAACTTGACTGTATTCTTGTGGCAAGGTTTTGGCTGCAAGAGCTTGGCGATGGAGAAAGCAGTGCATCCAACAAGCGTTTGGCATTTGTTCTTTCAGTCTAGCAATAAATCCACTCTTCGCACCAGTCATGGCTTTTGCTCCGTCACTACAAATAGCAATGCATTTTTGTGCCCAATCGATATTCATATCTTGCGTAGCTTCAACGAACATGTCATGCAAGAACTGACCTGTAGCATTTTTGGGAAGTGCCTTGCAAAATAGTATTTCTTCCATTAATATTTCATTGGATTCAAAACGCACAAAAGCTACAAACTGCGCACAACCCGCAATATCCGTTGATTCATCAAATTGTAAGGACACAAAAGAACTTTTCTTTATTTTTTCTATGACTTGATCACGAACGTCAGTCGCCATATTGCTTATCCTGCGTTGAATGGTATTGTCAGAGAGAGGTATACTTTTGAGCTTTTCGACCTCTTGTTTGCCAAACATAATCTCTGCTATATCTAAAGCCGCTGGTAAAATCAAATTTTCGGCAATACTGTGAGGTTTTCCTGCTTTAGCCACACGAAAAGCTACTCGATAACTAGCGAGCAACGCTTTCTCATTTAGGTTGGACATTTGTCCTATAGCAGTTTTTTGATGATCAAGAGCTTTCGCTCAAAAAATTATTACAATTATTAAATTTAATTGTCGTAAATTTTTGTATGGATTAAATATTTTTAACATACATGAAAAAAAGGGTCGGGGGTTCGCGAAATATTTTTTGTTACTAGGGGGGGTCGTGTCATGAAAAAGGTTGAAAAACACTGCTGTAGAAGATAGGCCTGTTCTTTGGGAGAAGACACTGGACGTCTATAAAGACAAAATAGCAAACGGCACCGCTTGGCGTGACATATGTGTTACTTTAATGGTTTTCAGATGTTAGAGCAAAAAGAACAGGTGAATATTTATATAGCTTCATCCTGCCAAGGGACTGATCCAATTTCGGATACAAAACAGTTTACAAATTCCATTCGTACTGAGTTAGCGGTACGACCACCTCGAATACTTTGATTGTTATATAAATTATCGAAATTAAATTCTTCAGGTATGTTGTCCAAATGTGTCCCACCAAACAGTCTTAATAAATGTTCGTGTAAACCGAAACCTTCGTCACCTATTATTACATAGGGAATTCTTATCCCTGAGTTGATCGTTAATGGACACGATTCTAGCATTTGCAAACTGCCACGTAGCAGCATTTTCCATAATGTCGATTCCTTGAATATTGATGAATCACACTCTTTTCCATATGATCTTACACTAACATATAGAAAACGATAGTCAGATTCCATGACCGCTAATAATACGATCGAAAAAAAGTCTTTGTAGTTTATAAACATTGAACCACTTTTTGTTGGCTTTTCAACTCTTACATGTTTAGCGTTCACTGCACCGAGACAGTGGGAAAAATTTGCTTTTGTATTAAATCCATGTGCTATCTCTTCCCATTCAGCTGATGTAGAAAGTTGCATAAACCACACAAATTATTCCAAATCAGTGTTGTTAAATACCCGGGTATTTATTTTCAAGGAAAAATTCCCTGGATATATACCCGGGGGTATTTACCCAAGATGGATATTTAGAGGTATTTTTAAAATTTGATTTAAATTGAGTTGGTGGCAGTTTTGCAAGTACTTCAAGAATGCAGAGTCCATTATCGATACACCAAACTTATTTATAACATTTACAAGAATGCTAGAATGACGGTTTAATTGCATGAAAGTATTGACCGAATACCCATCGGGCGTGGGGTAAGAGAAGGCGATATAATGTTGAACCCAAATTGTTCATCACAGTCCTGGAGAGTGCATTTAAACAACTGAATTGGACCCAAAAAGGTATAAACATTGATGGCAATACCTAAGTAATTTGTGCTACGCGGACGATATAGTCCTTATTTCGGATAGCCTTGGAGAGATGAAACTGATGCTGACGTATACAGGAGGCGTGTGCAAGAGTCGGGCTAAATATCAACAAAATTTAGGACAAATCTTGTTCCAAGTTCTAACATCAATATTGGTAATCCCTGATGCCTTTCCATGTTTTGACGCAGTGATTGCGTTTTGAACCTCACTGATTGATATAGGTTCCATGACACTATCCTTTCTTTGGTGTGACGGACTGCTGTCTATTTCCAAATCAGTTTCTATGCTTAATAGGTTTTGGAAATAATTTTTCCAAATGTCATTCATTTCACTATCACATATTATTTTTCCTGTTCCATCTCAGCATAGAGCTGAGTGCGATTTGTGCCTTTGTCTTAACTGTCTAACAAATTTATACACATTCCTGGTATTATTAGCTTTAAAGTGTACATATATTTCGGGAATGTTTATATTTTTACTACCGACCATTCTCGTTTACGTAATACTCTTCGAAAATATTTAACTTAATTTTTTAATTTTTTGGAATGTCCTGAATTGAGTATAAGTCTAATATTAATGACTAAATTCAGTTTTTGTGCTTCATTAATTCTAGTTGTTTGATTCTTTTCTAGACATATTGCACTTCCATCAAATCCAAAATTCCAAGATCCATGAGATTGTTGATTTCCAATTGAAAATTAAGTAGTTCGTTTAAGATCTTATTATTCTTCTTCTTTTATTCAGGTTGTAATCTGTTTTTTACGCATCATTCATGGTGTTTCATTAGAGTTGGAAATCCAACTTCCTGGTCTCCCGAGATCTCTTTCTAGCTAATCTTTGGTCTCTTGCTGTCTTAATCAGCCAGGTTTCTTCCATTCTTTGGAAGTATTCATAAAATTTTTTTATTTTTCTCTTGGCAACTCTCATGACATCTCCGAATCCACAAAATTCTCTTACAATTTTGTTCCTAACTCTATCTCTTCTTGTCTTTTCCACTATTGTTCTTAAAGTACTCATCTCAGTTGGTTCGCATCGCAGCCATATATCTTGGCCATGAGGTTCGGGTATGGAGAGATAATAATCAAATAAGCGAACTAAACAGAAGGATGATATCGCATGGGCAGCCTACAGGAAACTTTGGGCATCTTCATGAGCGATATTCCTGTATATTTGAAAAGAAAGGCTTTCAATCAATGCGTGCTTCCTCCTTTGGTTATGACATACGGTTCTGAAACTTTAAGATTAACGGTGGCCATTACTAGGAGGCTCAAGTAACACAAAGGAAGATGGAGAGGTCGATGCTAGGTGTAACCCTGAGGGACCACATACGAAATGAAGACCTACGAAGAAGAACTGGCGTAAATGATGCGATCAACATTGTGGCAAAGCTCAACTGGAACTGGGCGGATCATCGTTGCAACCTGATTATAATACGTCTTCGATCGTTAACAATTCCTCGTCTTCAACACCCATTTCATCATGTTCCTCTAAATTTTTGTCCGAATCTGTTATATTTTTACTTGTATCAGTTTTATATGTACTGTTTGGGTATTTACCCTGGACCGGGGTAATTACCTGGTTTTCGACAATACCTTAGACTTTTTCGGTTTATACATATTACCTTGTCTTTTTAAAAAAGCGACTAATTGAGTATACTTGCTAATGTCATCATTCTTTTTCATAGACATTACTACTCGTAACATCGAATAAAAAGCCCAAAGACTTGACGATTTATACTTTTTCGACGTATTTACGAAGTACGCCAGTAAAACTTACTCACTTGTTTCTTTTTTTACACCCTTCTGATTACATCACTGAATAAAGCACTCGTAAGTTTGTTCATATTTTTTTTTTGCCACTTTTCTGGTAATGATGAATTCGTTGCGGCTTCCTCCACGTCAGAAGGATAGCTTTCTGAGCCGCTCATTTTTTCTTTGACCAAATTGATACAAATGAAAAAATTAAAAGATTGTTTACAACAAAAGACTGGTTGTCCTTGTATGGTATAGACTCTACGGTCCTTGAGGACGTGTGACTACACGACTCGGTCTACGACCTCGTTGTGCAATTCTCCACACTCGTCCAGTAATTATGTTTCTAGCCCACTTGTAATATAAATAACTATTACTCTAGCAAAATGTGTGTTTTAACTTTTTTATTAAAAATAACGTAATACTCATTAATACGTATCTGATGTCATAAAATTTATGACCCGCGCCCGCTTGTGCTATAAAATCGAGCGCGCATGATCGATGGTTAAAAAAAAATAATTTCTAGTTATTCATCACATTGGTGTAACGAGCACTTCATCCATATTAAAGCAATGAGAAAAGTGCGCGAGGTAAGACAACAATTAAAAGACATCCTCATTCAACAAAAATTAGAAATAACTTCATGCGGAACCGATTGGGACATAATAAGAAAATGTATTTGTTCAGGTACAAAATTAAACCCCCCTTAAATACTACCTACATAATTAAAATAATTTATTTACAGCTTATTTCCACCAAGCAGCTCGTTTAAAAGGCATAGGAGAATACGTAAATTGTCGAACAGGAATGCCGTGTCATCTCCATCCAACATCCGCGTTATTCGGTTTAGGAAACACCCCCGATTACGTCGTGTACCACGAATTAGTGATGACAGCTCGAGAATACATGCAATGCGTCACTTCCGTTGATGGTCATTGGTTGGCCGAGTTAGGACCAATGTTTTTCTCAGTTAAAGAAACTGGTAAATCGGGGAGGGCCAAAAAGAAACAAGCAGCTGAACATCTACAAGAGATGGAAAATCAAATGCAAGTTGCTCAAGAAGAGATGAAAGCGAGGAAAGAGGCGGCGGAAAAGCGGGAAGCCGCGTTAAATAAAGGACAAGAAATTATTTCTGCTGGGGCTACACCCAGAAGAACTCCCGCTAGATTTGGGTTATAAAAAATCTTAAAATTTAGTTTTAATAATTATTTCTTTTTAATTAATAAAGATTATCTCACATAAATTAATAATCACAAAAATTTCTTTCCCACGTCATTTTATTACGTCAAAATTTAATATGTCAAAAATTACACTGTCAAGTGTCACAATCTTCGGAAGTCGATGTTCTTCCATCGATGTTGTTTTTTAATAAGAGATGACGTATCCGCGCCAGCCTTTGATTCGCCAAGATCTGCAATGAGTAAATCATCGATATCGTGCGTGGATGTACACGAATTTCTCGACAAAGAAGTGGTTTTTATTAAAAAAGGTCCCGCGGTATGGTACGATCCTGAAGACGAACAAAGTGGTTGTGAGGAAGAATCTACTTGGCATGTTATCGCGAGTGGATCCTCCACGAATAAAAATGATAATAGGATATCTTCAGGATCGTGTTGTACGCGTAGTAGCAGTACTGAAGATCCCAATAAAATCCCCGCCGTAGAAAAAGGAAAACGGTGTTTATCGCATAAAAATAGTAAGAAATTGATTGGTTTTATTTGAGAAGTGTGATTTATTTTTTTCGGTTTAGAATCGTCGACGTATTTGTTTACACCTCCACAAACAGTTTCAGCGTGTTCAATCGGTAAATTTGTTTAGTTTTTGTTATAAATAGAGAGTATTTTATTTTTGTAGCAACTAGCAGGATTTTGGATTGGGTGATGACTTGCTGTTGGAAGTGTTCTCCGGGATGCCAACAATTGCCTGCATTGAATGTTTGAATTAATTTTATCACTTTTTATATTATTTTATAGTCAAGAATTATAATTTTTGTTAATTTAAGTCAATGTAGTTTGTGCTATAATTTAATTGGAGATCACTATATTAATATGTAACACACCACAAAGTGTACTTAAATCCTCGTTTTATAACAATTTCAATTCGTTTAATTACTTCGTCAACATCAATTGTGTAATATTTTAAATTAGTTAGATCATAATAAAATTATCGAATTAATTAAAAATGAGATCCAAAAAAAAATCAAGGTGAACGAGAGTTTATTACATAAATATTATTTATGTTAAACAACATTCTTACAAGTTACAATCGCGGGATTCGTATGTTGTTGGATTTATCAATGCTCTATCTGTCTTTTGTACTGTTCTTCTAACTGAATTTCCAAGGAGAAACGTCTTTTTCTAATAAAATTAATAGATAAGTTCAAAACTTTAAAAGTACAAGAAGGAGAAGACTTAATACATTTATGTCAGTAGGTTATTTTGAAGAGGCGAAACTTTGGAAATGATGTGCAAGCATAAAAGAACAAGTAAGAGAAACTCTGCCTACTGGAAATTTCGTACTTAGTAGATGGTGCTTAAACAGGAATAATGCTAACACAACAAAAATGCATTCAGACATTTAAATCAATGAACTGAAAATGAAAGGAGTATTAAAAAAAATTAATGAAAAAGTCATTCTTACTAAACAATAGTCTCCAAGCGTTATACTAAGTGTGGAAATTTGAGTGATAATAAATATTGCTAATCGCTAGTTATACATTTTTTCTACCTGCCTAACAATTTGTGAATGTTAACAAGAAAAGTGTTACTCTTTTGGAGCAAACCATCCATTTTCATCCATTTTTGTGGAATAAGTGGTTACTGAACAGAGCCAGACAAAGATAAGTAGTATTTCCCAACTAGACACTTCATCTGTTTCCTTGACCAGTTGTGCTGCGTGTGATGGTGCATTATCATGAAGAAAAACACTTTGTGTAGACTTTTTTGTTATTTTGGTCGTTTTTTACACAAAGCTTAATTCAAATAAATCATTTGTTGTCGGCTGTGGCCGGATATTAAAAACCTATTACTTAGTACTCCACCATTCACAGGAATTAGTATCTTTTTTAGGTGTTAGGCACTGTAGATAATAATCAAGTTCAACCCCAATAGGACTTATTTCATTAAATACAACTTTATTTATCATTAGCAACCTTATTGTAACAGTTGTTGCAGTTTCGTCTAGTTTTCTTCTCTTCGTACAGAACTGTCGCTGTTATCACTTTCGATTATTAATTAAAGTATTCTCTTTTTAATACAAAAAGCTGTTTTGAAAAATCATTGTCAGTTCTTGAGAAATAAATTTTTGAAATAATCGACAATTTTTTCGAATTTTGCAATTTTCGCCAATTAAGTTTTAAAAAGATTATCCTTATTTTTAAC